ATGGCATTTAATGTCAGTGTGTCGGAGCGACAAGGAGCATGAGTCTAACGATTTCGTCTTTGGGCTCTGGGTTTGCGGTGCTTTCAGTCTTTGAGTTTTGGTTGCAGGGGACCGTGCCTTATAAACACAGCCATGCCATGAAACTCCCAGAATAGTTCTTACTGTTCCGGCTGCTTGAGACTGAAGTTGGGTTTGGACTTCCACAGTTTTGGCTGTTCGGCGTGGGATCTAAGGGTTTAAGTACTCATTAAGGGCACAGTTCCGAGCGCGAGGAGCATGTCAGCAGAGCACAGCGACGCACCCACCAAGCAGAAGCCTATGGCCTACAGTGCCTCGGACATTCAGGTTCCGGCGTAGCATCCTAGCCGTCGTGTATTTATTGGACTTGGGTGTTGGGGTGCGTTACACCGTTGTGCATATGCACGGACCACAGGAGAATACTACGACGAAATATTCAGGCTCCTATGTAGCATCGTGACATCCTGCTTGAAAACATCAATTGGGTTCTACGCCCAAAAATCTCCCGGCTATGACGGCCGTCATTGATTTCACTAGGGATGGGGAGTGGTATGTGCCCAATGTCGTCGATGATGACAGCAGGATGTCGTGGATTGAACTAGCAACTGATTTTGTGACCAAGCATGGCTTTATTGGGGGATTCTTGACTCCGGGAATGCCAATGTCGCGGCTTACCCGTAAAATGAAAACATATGTCATTAAGGCTATGCAGTCCTGCGGCGTAAACTTCCCATGAGGTTCCTATAGTGGCAGTATGCATGCATTGCTCATCTTAGTTCAGTAACAGTTCTGACGTTTGCGAGGCGGAAGAGCGAGTGTTGGCAAGAAAGTTCAGGCTCCTATTTAGCAGGGACTTTGGTTCAAGGTCGAGAATCTAGACCACACAGTGGATGATCAAAGCAGCCCTTCACTGTTCTTCGGGTGCAGGAGTTGAGGGAAGGCTTTTCCAGCATTGATCTCTGCCGGAACGCCGGAACGCCGGAACATCGGAACATGGGATATCACTTGGGCGGACTGTGATGCACGAGTTCAGGTTTGTGTTTCGACTTCCTGTGCGCGGATCTGGCTCTGGTGCTTATGCAACGAGATACTAGTAGTTGGGCTCTGCAGTGAGTGATTCCGGAATGCACTTGCTCCAAAACAGCAATGTAAATAATTGAATTCGGGGGTTCACGGCTTTGCTGCCACTAATTGCTTTGGGCCCCCGGTGTTGGAGGAGATGCCCTTCGGCACATCAGACCGTCTCTCTGGGACGAAACCACTGGGATGCATGGCTCTCGTCTCCGGCGACGCCACCTAGCGGATGGTCAGGCGAAAAGGGTGGAGGTCTGGACAACCGAAATTCTGTGTGGTTCTTACCCACGTAGGGAATGGGGGCATGGATTATGGAGACTTATTATTGGTTTTTATACAGGGACTACTATAGGGATCTATTCCCCCACTCCCGACAAAGAACCAGACAGACTTGCTTTTAATGCTGCCGGACTTGCCTGCGTCGTCAGCTCAAGAGCTGGAGGACATTCTGCACTGTACTGACTTGTTAGTGATGTGAAGAGATATTACTAACCTTACTAACCCTAGACCCTATGCCCTATGCCTCGCCTGGATTGTCCGAGTGTGAGCGCCGAAACCCTAAACCGTGGCTTATTAAGGTCTAAAGTCTGGGGAACTCAGCCCACGCCAACAATACGCTGGAGCTAGATGTTTGGAACATCGGGTTTACGGTGTCGGGGTGTAGGTTCTTTGACATTATTTGACTGCACAAGAAAGCCCTGCATCCGAATCCCTTTTTCGAAGCACAAGAGTATCCGTAAGCAAGGTTATATACCTAGGAGAACGACAGATATAACTGGTCAAGGGCCGGAGGGACATTATACTGCATTCGAAGTTGCAAGGTTTTGTCCAGCAGCAAGATCGCCTGATTGGCAGCCCTGCTTGAACTTCATTTATATATGGGCGTCAACAATTAGAACAGGGTTTTGGTGTTGATTATGCTATAGTTAGAACAAGGAGCCCCCCAAATAGTATTGGTAATCATTTAGGTCCCTACATTATAGTATTCGTTGCTACTTGTGAGTCTTCAAGCAAGTTCTACTTATCGCATTCTCGCACCGAGGTGCGCTCAGCGAAAAGTCGGAGTTCTCCAAAACAGACAACCCCGAAGCGCCAGCGGCCACTGCGGAAGAGAATGTGTTCCGTGGATATCAACTTTTAGAGCCTTGTTAATATCGGGTTCTGAATAATTACCTACACATTTTTTGGGTGGGGGTCCTTATTATAAGTATGATATGATGGGCACCAAAACCCTATTATCAACGCCCCATAGTATGTGTACTTGACAAGAGCATGGCCGATACACTTTGTTAAATCATCCGCCCCCGAAAGAAAAGAGCCAGACTAAGCAGCCTGCGCCAGCCGTCCAATATTCCTCAGCATTCCGTAACAACTTGTCGTGCAGCTTGCAAGCACCCCGTGGCTTTGAATATCGTTGATTCTAATCGGCAAAATAGACGGTCTTACCAAGCAAAATAGATCCCGATCCCAGGGTTTGCGACATCTGTAGGGCAGCAGAAAAAACACACATACGTGCGAGTATCCTGTAAGACGGCTTCATACAATCAAATCCGTAAGATATGACGAAACAGGAAACGTGTCATGACCCTGCACAAGCACGCACGACTGCAAGACTGTGAAAGTACTTGGGGCTTGTGCTTGACAGCCCGCAGTCCTGAAACTCCAAGCCTCTGGTTTTTGCCGGTGGCTCCGGTGTTGTCCTGCTGAGGTTTGTTTTGTTTCCACGGTTTTGGGTTCGGGTCCAACGGCTTGTGGTGCTCTACTTACAGGATCATGGGAATTGGTATTTGGGCTTATCAGTACGTAAGGTAACTGTGACTACAGTCATAATTACTTATAGCCCCAATCCAGGTGCAGCAAGGCTAGTTTAGGATACGTGTGTTTGTAGCGAGTCTTCTTTGCTAGTAACTGCAGACTTGCGCTGATTGGAATCATTTCGGTCTGGTAGCCCCTGCTAGTGAGCCTCCTGTTGTTGGATGAGCTCGTTCTAGCCACCAGATCCTCGAGACATGATGCAAACACCGCACAACGATGATGTAATGTAGCGTGTCCTAAGGCTGAGGGTTCATAGTATGAGGGTCGGCTTCAACTTATGCGTGGGTGCTCGTCAAAATTATGGTCCCTTTTTGGGTCCTTATTATAATACGGCACCTAGTATTCAGGGTACCCAAAAAGGGACCCTAATTTCGACAACCACCTATATATCTCACGAAGGGCTTCGAGCATCAAGGCAGGGTCGAGGGCGTGAAGCTTCAGTGCTTGTTGGGCCTCATGGTCGGGGGCCTTCCCAAAGCCCGATAGACTCTGAGTAAGCAGGGGCGCAGGGTTTAGGGTTTGGGGGCGCGAATCTTCGAGTCGCCGCCTTAATCCGAAACAGCAGGTCCCAGCGAATAAAACCTCACCTGATTACGGGGTTAAGGGTTCGGGGTATTTTGACAAATGTATACGGCACAAGTTTTAGGGGTCCCAGCTGATCGGCAGAGTCTGTTCTAAATTGGGTTTGGGCTCTGAAAGTATTAAACCCTGAGCTTACCTGAACCCTAACCCCCCGAAGACAAATCAATAGCATTCGTAGCAACAACTATAGTGTGATTTTGGGCTCAAACATCGCAGTGGGGCCCTGAGCCCTAAAGAATAGTAAGGGCACCCAAGATGAAAACCTTACGCTTAGCTTTCGAAGGTTCCTTCGGACTGTACCCGGGTCCGGCGATCCCGACAGAATGCACCCTGATGAGTCTGCAGCCCAGATTTCCGTTTCTGTTGTGCCGAAGCGCGGCACCAGAGATATCTGCGGAATATAGCCACCCTCAGTTGAACTTTCAATGTTGGGCATACTAGAGATGGAAACCCTTGCATTCTTAACCGCAGAAGGTAGATGTCTTGCTGGGTAGATGTACCCGTCGGACATCAGGAAACCATCCAAGGTGTTCCTCGCTAAAGTAATACATTTTAATTCGAGACCATGCGTCTCGCATCCCGTCATGCGTTTGTCGCAAAGACCTGTTCTTGCAGTGCACGTGCAGCAAAGCTGCCTCCCATTTAATTTCGAGCTAGCAGGATAGGCGGGTTTCCTCGAAGAGGTCAGCCAGCCAAGGACGTCTCTCAAGCCCGACATCCACGCAAGCCCGGCCTGATCGTAAGTAACTCTCAAACAGCTCAAGATCCAGACTCTCAAGTACGGGTAGGGGCCTGATGCTAAATTTGGGCTTGTGAGTTACCTCGACAACACTAATTTTTCGATTCTTGACCCCACGGGCGCTCTCTGGTGCTTGTCTGGTACATTTGGAGCGATCAGCAAGCCCTGAGGGCGGGGGCTAATGTTCGGCCCAGACAATACACGTGACACCAGAAACAAGCTGCAGATTCGAGGTGTGGGGATCTTTCTGTCAACCACCTACCCAGATCCTTGACCCTGAAACCTAAACCAGACATCTGTTTTTACTTCGGGGTTGGAGCGTTATCAGTTCGGGGCTAGGTCTGGGACTCTATCGATGTCACACAGATGGAGCCTCGAGGTTCTGAGCTCTCACCGCAGGTTATGTGTTGAGGCCTTGACAGCATCGACATACCATAAGTTGGACTCCCTGCAAAGCATGCGCGAGTGAGTGAGAGAGGCGAGTGATGGAGGCAGCTTCTCCTTCATTTGTCAGCTATGTCCCCCCAAAACACTCGATGAACATCTAAGCAGCATCCACACCGCCACGCCTCGAATCCTGCCACAAAAGCTGAACCCTAAACCCCCAAACCCGAAAACTGTTTGCAAATGCTTCTCATGCCCAAGAGTCGGGGGATCACTCGCAGCAGGGTCGACTTGCAATCGGGTCAACTTGGCAGAATGACGGAGGGATGAGCTTTAGCCCTGGTGTTGTTAAGGTTAGGCTCTTAAACTTTGACGTGGCATTGCTGCCATGCGCTTTCGTCCTGGCGCCCTCCTTCTGTCGTGAGCTCAGGTGTCGTGAGGAAGCCGCAAGGGGGTTCTGACACTTTGCATTCTTCCTGTGGGGTGGGCACGGTGCGGCATGGTCTCATGGCGGGAAGTTTTGTAGAGCCTGAGACAGCGTGTGCACTGAATGCAAGGGATGAAGCACGAGTCCGAGCCATGTGGGTGGTTGTCAAATTTATGGTCCCCTTTTTGGGTACCCTAAATAATAGGTGCCGTATAATAATTAGACCCACAAAGGAACCATGATTTTGACAACCACCCATGTGCATAACCCAAACGCTGGAGCTTCGGATCGCCTCATCCCCCAGAGCCCTGCTCGACAGCTGACACCAAACAGGAGCGAACCAGATGATCCTGAAACCCTCAACTCCAAACCCCTAAACCCTAACCGTGAACCTACTTCCTGGGCTTAACACGTAGTCGAGTCGAACCTACTTCTGCAGACCTTGCCAGGCTTGTCCGAGTGTGAGTGTCAAAACCCTAACCCCTAAACATCCCTGACGTAGATTGTTGCTACAAGTCATATGACTGTCCCCTTAGAGTGTTTCACTTTGTCAGACTCCGAACCACGTGCCTCGTCTGGATTGTCCGAGTGTGAGCGCCGAAACATCCCTAAACCCTAAATCCTACATCGTGCCTGTCCTGAGCAGCTCCTTGAGGGCCTTCCTGGCGGCGCCCTTGCTCTTCACGTTTGCTGGGCCGTGGGGAGCAACGAACAGGCTCTCAGAGGGTGGAATATGCGGATCTCAATGCTTACCTGTTCTATTTTGCCCGCTCCTTTTTATAGTTAAGTATGCCCCAAAACCCGTAGTGAGGCCCCTATATTGGGGGCGTGACTTGTGCTGGTGCTTCCTGCAGAGATTCAGATTTAGGATGTTGGTCTGACGGTTTAGTCTAAGGGGCTTCGCTTATCCGGTTGGGACTAAACCCTATATAAAGCCTAATTGGTTCAGGGTTTCGAAGTCCGGGTATGCAGTTGCAGCTGGCAGTGCGTGGGGTTCATGCCAAAGACCAGCATGCCCGAACGCTGCAACTCCTAACAGCAAGGTAGAAGCCTCAAAAGAACAAGGTATGAAACCACTGGCAATGGTTCTGGTCCTGGTTTCGGGTCCTCTGGAAAGCGACACGTCACCGTCGGTTACTCTCCTGAAGCCCGCGTTTTATTAATAATGGAGTATAGAGAATACATTCGGCCAACATGACACTTTATGAACAAGTCGTATGCTTAACGGTTATGTTGCCCTAGGCGGGTCCGTTGACTTCCATGGTTTCAGCTGCCAGAGTGAGGGTTCAGAATTCAGCGTTTAAGTGGGGTCCTTCAGGACAGCAATTGTTTGATTTATATAGGTGGCTGTAGCACGAAAATAAAACCCTACAGCAGCAAAAAGGGGAACGATGCTTATTTCCCAAACCACACTTGGGCCATTTGCAGGAGAGCACCAACACTGGCGAGACAGCAATCTGGCAAGTTTGGCGACAGAGACTTTGACGAGGTCTTCGGGGAAGATACCCCAAGTCCCACCATGTCCCACCTTTCCACCCTTTTCTTTCTTCCAACCCAGCGCCGGCTAGGGTTACGGAGGGACTCTTGGGTTCAGAGAGGGTTCATGCTTGAGGGCTTTTAGGGAAGAGGACTTCAGCAGGGCTGTACCATCACCGACACTTGGGGAGTTTAGCACGGTTTAGTGTTCTGGGTGTAACATTTCAGCAGATTGGAAGGCCTAAAGGCCGGGGAGCTTCGAGCTGTTTCGCCTGCAGAGAAGAGTTGGGCCAATTCACCTTCGTGACGCGAGATGCAGGGCCCTTCAACTTGAAAATCGTAGACTCGAACCCCTAATGTAGATTTTGTGGAAGATCTTCAGCCAAGGCAAGCGGACGGAGAAAGTGGCTTGCCTGCACAATATCCGACCAGATATGGCGCCTGTCTGCGAGCTTGTCCTACTGGCTGCGCTATTTAGACTTCAGGAAATACTGGCTGTTTTAGGGTGTTCGGGTTTGTGGCCCCTTCAAGGTGATGGCACGATCCCAGCGGTCAAGGGGACCGGCCAGGCGGGCCGGGTTCAAGCTACAGGGGCTCCACCGCAGCCGTGTAAACCGTATTTAGGGATTTTGAGAGCTTTGGCCAGTAAACTCATGTGGTGCAGATTGCTGGCCTGTCGTGAAGTTTCTGAGCCGAAGTTCTTCATACTCGAGACACAGTTCTTGAAATGATAATGACTGCTTCGCACTACGAGGATGACCTTTTGACATGAGCTCTCGTCACAATACTGTGAACCCTACACTCTGAACCGCTGCGGGTTTGGACCCATGTGCCTGTCGCGCCTAATATCACGGCAAGGCTTCTTCAGAGTCGAAGAGGGAAGAAGCTGAGCCGCAATCTGTGCAACAGCAGGGCATCCCTGTATGGATGCAACATGTTGCCTCTTTGAGAAGTTTGAGATCGGTTGTGCTACAAACTGCCGCAGTTTGAGCACTGCTCAATGCTTCTCACATGTCGCATGCCACCGATCTGTTCCGAGGGCAGAAAGGATGAGAAGGATATGAACATCTTTGGCTGCTTGGCTGGGCAATTTCGGCAAGTCATCCAACTCAAAAGTCGCACATGTGTGTAGATCTTTACTCCGTGGTGTTCTTTCTGCCTGAGAGGGCACAGCGCCAACGAAGACGTCATTGCAGGGTTGTTATAGCCCGACTTGTGATGATTGTTTTAAACCATGAAAGATTGCATGAGAAACATTACAGTGCCTGTGTTGCTTCAACCTTGGGCAGCGCGTCTCTCCTTGCTTGTTTTGTACGAAACATTCCTAGGTCTCATGTTGACTCCGTTGTTTGCAATCTCTATTTTTTGCACCCCGCTTACATGAAAAGAGTCAGTTCTGTTAGTTCAGATAACCTTTATGCTAATTACCGCCTGAAGCCTAAATTAAAGTTGCCAGTCGGATCTTGATCTTTCTCAGAAATTTGGACATTCTGTCCGACATGTGTGCAACAACTGTGCGGGCCCTGAGCTTGCGGTCACCTCGCCGTCATCACAAGCTGTACGGGCCACCATGATGGCTGTACATCGCCGTGTTGCATCACGATGCTAATGGCAGCGACGAGCCCGAAGTCCTCGAGGTCAATGAGCTTGCCAAAAATAATCATACTGACAATACTAATAATAATTGTAATATCATAATATCATACTTTATATATATATATATATATATATATATAAATGTAGGCGATCGCGCCGGTGCAGGGCACAGCTCGCCTCCCCGGCGCGACGCAGGAGACGCCCCGAATCCAACGTCCAAATCCAAGGTCCAACTCGTTCAAGCCTGGCGTTTACAGCCGTGCACCCACTTAAACCCTTTATCCTAGACTCTGAGGGCAAAACCCTGTAGGGGATGCACCTATGCTTTAAAGCTTAATCCTAGCCCCCCCAACCCTGATACCAAAAGCTTTAAAAACAAAATCAACCCCAAGAGAATAGCTTTCAACTCCAGAGTCCTCATGCCTGAACCTGAAACACACTTAACCTAAAGCAAAAACAACCTGTCTCTCGTTAAAAAGGAGCTGAAAAAACCTGTCTCTCGTCATCAAGCTACCTGAGGACTGATGCGAGCTAGAGTATCACCTGTGGGCTTCAATGTTCAAGCCTGCCTCTGTTCAACCAAGTACCCTGCACTGCGGGCTGCGTCCTTGCCAAGTAGGAGGGATAAAACCTGTCGAGAGAGTCGCCATACAACTTCGGAATAAGCCTGGCAAAACCCTCACAGAAGACGTGAGAAGAATCCTATGAAGCCCCTCCTCAAGCCGTCATACAGGCTAGCAAAGCCCTGAGGAAACCCTTATACGCCTTAGAACCCCTTGAAAGGCTCATGGAGCCTTCCCCTAAACCCTGACACCTAAAGCCCTTCAGAATCCCTGCGTCTTCCTTCTACCCTCAACCCTTCAGCCCTACATTAGACCTTCAACCTGCAAACCCCAAAAAGCCTGAATAAGACCCTAAAAATCTAAACCCCAAAGCCCTAAATCAGAATCCGGCACCCTCGGCGTCCTGGGGGCTGTTATTCTTGCGGGCGGCGTCTTCGTCCTCGGAATCCTTGGAGGTCTCCCAAGTTTCGAGTTTTGGAGGGTTCTCTAGGGATTTCTACAGGTTCTTTAAAGGTGTTTTAGGGTTTTGGGATTTCAGGATTGAGGGTTTTCAAGGGGTTCTGTCAAGGCTTCTCAGGATTTGTCCAGAGTTTTATGGTGCTTTATAAGGCTCTGTGGGGTTTCAGGGTTCCTTTAAGCTCCTGCATCCGTTTTACAGGTGTTTTTTTCCGGGCTGTCAGGTTCAAGAGTTCCAATATGATGCGTGTTCAGACGTCCGGCCCCAGCCCGCGACTCAAAAACAGGAGTTCCAAGGTTTCGGGCGTAGGGGTGAAGTTAGCGCTTATTATAGGATCCTTAAGGGGGGGTGGTTCAAGGGGGGAGGGTACTAGGGAGCTTTGGGGAACCTTAGGGAAGCTTAGGGAGTATTGGGGAATAATGGGTATTACTAGGTTACCTACCCCCCTTGGACCACCCCCCCTTAAGGACATCCTAAGCTTACGTGCAAGTTGTATACAGTTTAGGCGTGTTGGGCTTAGGTGTTGGGAGGTTCCGGCTCATAGGACATGAGGGAATCATGGTGTTTTGCACAAGATTTGAAGATTTTGCTGGCTTGGGGTTCTAAGGTTTTGGAGTTTGAGCTTTCGGGTGAGAGCTTGAGGAACTGGAGGCAACGTCAAAGGGTAGAAAATGCTACCAGCAGTGCCTCAGGTTTACCGCCACAGGCCTAGTGCTGTCCAACAGCGTCCAACCATCCCTTCCCAAGAGCATCCAAGCGCCGACCGCGGGACGTCCACCTAGACCTCGCCCGATCCACATGAGCATCCAAGCGCCAACCATGAAAACGTCCACCCTGACCTCATCCATTGTTCAGGCATCCACGGGCCAGCCAATGATAATGTCCACTCAGAAGAGGGAGCCCCGAAGCAAAAAAAGGCATCCTTTCCCAGAGTATTCTGGGCCAACCATGCTAAGTAACGTCCACCCAGACCTCCGTTCTCCGCAGCATCCATGCACCAACCATGATACCTATAGTCTCCATTGTAGTTCCTTTTTGGGGTTACCCTATAGGATCCTAATTACATATTTGGTTAAACCAAAAAAAGGAACTACAATGGAGACTACAGATACTGTCCACCAAGACCTTATATCCGACCTGCAGACTTTCCAGCAGCGCTCGCCTGCACGGGGTGGTCCCACGGGACGCTTTCGACATCCTCGTTGAAGTGCGTAAAGTGGCTAGGCCCACTGAATGTTACGCAAAGGTTCTCTGGAACTCTGCCCTGGAAACTACTGACCACTGCGGGTGCAGAAGATGGTGATGAGAGGAAAGTGGCGACGAGGTGGTGGATTCGAACGAGGTTTGCAGTTGCAACTAGGTGCTCAACAAAACTGCTCACCAACTCCTGCTATGCTAGCAAGGCTCGAATATCCCAAGATTACTATGTCTCCATACTTCTGCATGCTGATACAGCTTCCCAGGCTGGATAAGTTAGCAAAAGCCGTGGCGACAGCGCAGGCCCCCCAAACCAGTGCATCACAAATAGGCATGCCAGGTGCAATGCATACTTTAACCCAATGTCCGACCGCGCTGCGTCGACTTCTTATCCTCAGGGTTGCTATAAGACAATGCTTACAGCATGACACACCCTCCAAAAGCCCACTCCAAGTATTAAGGCCCGTATACTGTACTGGTTGTTTCTGCCACCTCGAGCTCTGGGGAGCTACAGGTTTCTCGAGATCGCCTAGTGCTCATGATGAGTTGTTAATTTGAAATGCACGAAAAGGGTGGATCAGGGTCATGCCCTTTTCCGGGTATCTTGTGGTTGTTGTCTGTAGTGTTCGCTGGACGGCTCCGAAAAGTTTGGACTCCTCCAAGGGTTTCCGTTCTGCGTACTTGGCTCCTTGACGGTGTAATTAATAATTACAATATACTAAAGATACCCAACAGCCGAAGCTAATGAAGGCTCCTGCAGTAGTAGTTGCAGCTCATGGTATTCGGAACGGTTCTTCCCCAGAGCTTCTCGGACCTCCCTCAGCTACTTTGTGGGGCTCAGGAGTTAAGAATTTCGGTTTGAGGAGTTTCGGGGGGTTCAGCTCAAAGCCCAAGACCCGATACCCACTTGAGCTAGGTTGGGTTCAGTCCCTATAGCCCTAAGCCCGACAAACCCAAGCCTTTTCCTTGGACAACAATGGACTACTAGACACATATGAATAAACTTAACATACATTACAACGCAATATAACATACTATTAGTATAATACAACATAATATAACAGAGATAATGCAGTAAAATGTGGTTCAATAAAGTATACTAAACATATAACATCGTCCAATACATGTAGTATCTGATACAATACGATAAAGTATGACATATAACGCAGTACAATGCATTGAACCATCATCTAACATTATTAACTATATATGTATGTGTATGTGTATGCCTATATATATATATTTATACACCCACACCCCGAAGCTACGCCGTTCATGCCTGCTTGCAGTCTTTGCAGGTGGACCAGATCGGGTGACTGACGCGCCCCTTGCTAGCAAATCGTTCCGGTTTTTAAAGAGCCGCTTGAACCAATATACAAAGGTATATGGGTGTATATATTTGCCTGTACACAGATACCGGTAAACTGAGATAGATAGACAGGTCGCTGACTCGATAGACACATCGGTTAAACAGCTAGACCAACAGATAGGTAGATAGACAGCCAACGACATTGGTAGAATGTTTTTGCTGTGGGCGGTCGTATATTGATAAAGTGTTCAGAGACAACCCCTTTCAACAGTCGCTGCAATCTCACATGATGACTAGAGAAGGCCATACGTCATGAAGACCGGGATCGTTCGACCCTCCAACTCCTGTTCTTCGTGACGTCGACCCTAAACGCCGAACTTCAAATCTCGGTCCTGAACCATGCGCATGAGGCAGTATCTCGCTGCAGTTGGAGCTGACAGAATGTGAACTGTCTCGTGCTGATCGTCGCGAAAGAAGCACGCGCTGATGTCAGGCAGGAAAGCAGGACTTTGTCTTGATTTCAACCATGCATGTCCTCAATCCCGCGACAGAGAGTGTGCATCTCAGTTGAAGCCAGTTGACAAGCCGGTTGTATCCTGTAACTGGTACAGTCCAACCCTAGTCAAGTTGCTGAGTTCTCATGAAAGCCTCGGCGCGGGGTTTGTGTTTCGGGCCTCAAGCCCCTGGGCCCTGAGTCTTCAGTGCCCTGACCTCCCTAGCGTCCAAAGCACAAACACCAAGACCCTAACACTCCAAATTGTGGGCTATTGTCAGCTACTTGAACTGTTCACCTGATAATCCCTGATCCCTCAAAAAGATTTTACAGGTAGATCAGATCATCCGACCGATGCACTTGGGAGACAGATGCGCTCCTTGCCGGCGAATCGCTTCAGTGTGTTACAGCAGTTTCTGTCCATATGTAGCAGCTAGGCTCTCTTTCTCAGTAACTCTCTCGCTTTCTCTTTGTTGTTTGTCTGTCTGTCTATCTAACTATCTATCTATCCTGAGCCTGCAATTCGCTTGCTTCGTCTCCTGCCCTTGCTCTTGCTGCTACCGTTGCTCTTGCTTCCGCTGGTGCTCCTGCTCTTGCTTCTTTTCTTGCTCCTGCTCTTGCTGTTGATCCTATTCTTGCACCTATACGCCTGAACCCCCAGAATTCAACTGCTGTTAAACGGTGGTGATGAACTCAGCCGGAAAACTTGGATTTGTTCGGGCAAAGTCTGAAAGGTGGAAGTGGTTAAGCAGGCAAAAAGACAAAAAGCTTATCGAGCCATGCACAAAATTTGTGAGAACCTATACAACCCGGCTTATCATCATCTTGAGAGACTAGAAGCAAGACTCTCCCCTCCTCATTCAACGATGCAGCAACCACGGCAGGGCTTCCTACGACGGGCGTCCCAGCAAGCAGTGCCTCTAACTCTAACGTGAGACCATATAAGGAGCGGGGCGCCATAGTTGTGTGGTGATAGCTGCATGGGTATACCCTTTGTAAGACAAATCACCCAAAAGCAAACAAATACATAGATAGCAACATACATACATACATACATACATACATACAACATACATACATACATGCAGACATGACCACGGACAGACAGACAGACAGACAGACAGACAGACATAATCACATATACAAACATATGTTTGCATACATATATACATATGTAGATAGGTGTGTGTGTATCTATATATATATATATATATATATATAGATGTGCGGGTGTATGTGCATATACACCTGTATAGAAGTGTGTATACATATGTATGTATATGTATATATATATATGTGTGTATAAGTACAAAAATATACATAGCTATGTACATATGTGTGTACGAAACAAATTTGAATATTTCATTTCTGTATGAATATACATGTGCCATGTTCCGCATGCTGGGCACGGACGGCTGTACGAAGTCTAAACATATGGTACAATGGACGTGGCACAAAGGGGTAAAATATATGTAGGAATAATTGGCAGTATCTCCTTAGGGTTCCTGTACAGTTATACTAAGAGAGAACCCAAAGCCTTACGCTAATTGGTAAAGGCCCGGTATTATGTGAATCTCCTTCATCTGCTGCAAGACAGGTCTCGAGTGGCGAGATCTAGACACGCACACACGCCCTCGCGCCATGCGTGAGATGCATGCACAGGAAGGAAGTGGAAGACATGACTTGATGCAAGGGGAATATGTGACTTCATGTAAGTATACTTACTGATGATTACCTCTGTGAACATATTTGAGTATAAGTATAGATATGATATGTATACATATATGTATATATATATATAGAGGTATGCACATTTGCATACAGATGCACACTAGGCACGCATGTCACCACATGTGTTTATGAATGTACGTACGTATGCACAAGTGTATGTCCTGGGTATTTAATACAAACCGCCACTCCAGTCTACGGACTTTCGAGACCACGCCATGGCTGCGCTGCCGACTCCAAGTGCCGAAAGCCCCATGGTTTATGGCCAGGGCCAGGACAAGCGAACTAGATCGTTGAAACCTTCAGGGTTGAGGTTTGCGCTTTAGGTAGCTGCTAGCTAAATCCGAAGCCGTACTAAAACCGTATGCTCTACAGCGAACCACTGAACCGGGTTTCGCCGCAGGGTTGCTGGCCTTCTGCGGAATTAGTCGGGGCTTCAGCCCCAAAGGCTTCGGATTTCGATTGTACCAGGTTCGGTCGTCTTGTAGAGTATGCAAGGTCTAGGGTTTATAGGGTTTAGCTTAAAGGGGTTGGAGCTTTAGGTTTGGTGGCTTTTGTATGGACAGGTTCAGGGTTGTGGGTTGTGGGTATTCGGTTTGGGAGGAGGACGCTGCGGTAACCCATGCTTCTGACTTTTCCTGACAATTAATTCCTTCACGCACTAGATGAAACATAACAAACGCCTGAAGCCAGCAGGACAGCAGCTACAAAGCAGCGCTTGCATAGCCGTACTGCTAGAGCAGATATTAAACGGTCTTGTTCTGAAAGTCGACGATTAGCTTCAATCGTTTTCTGACTGTAGCAGTGAATAATGCAAATACCGCATCGATGTAAAGGTGCAGGAAGAACAGAACAGCAACTCAACGGCACACAGGCACCAGTTGCAGCCGCGAAAGCAGGGCACGACTTAGCAATGACTGCCAGCAAGAGTAGTCTTGGTAATGAGCTTCTTAACAGCACGTCAAACAAATACATGTTTCTGCAATACAACAGGAGTAGACAATGCTATTGCTGCTGTACATGTAAGTTCAGCAGCATAGTTTCAAACGATAATGCAAAACTAGATAACAAACTACTATTATGCTGAAGCAGAACAGATGTTAGTGGCTGGGTTGAGGACACAACATTCACCGTACAATGCCACAGCGGGACAGCCAAATTTCGGTTTTACCATAAACATGACATAAAGAAAAGTAATTCGATTGGTATTGCAGCATTATTTGCTTATGCTACACTTGCAACATTAACCAACAGTTCCAAACATACGCACGTTGCGTTACCATAAGAAGGTGTGGTAGGCACATCCTTAGCACGAGCATGTAGCGGCGTTAATAATCGTATGGTAGGTAGTAATGCCGATACTGAAAGATAAACCAATCCTGGTAAAACCAATATGTCATTAGATTTGACAATACAGAAAGCCGCAAAAGGTATGGGATTAGCTAATGGCATTTACCACGACACTGACACAACAACATGCATTGAATGAAATAGCTTACATCTACGAATGGAACAGCTCTTCATGAACAAGTATGTGTTCACTTGGTTGTCAGTATTGATAATAATACTGTGTGTTCGCCTACTGGTGCTAGTGGTAGTTCATGGCATCACCTACTCTAAGACCGAGAGACGGAACGACATAGTTGGTAGATGTTAACAATAACGCAACACGCGCCAGTGCTAATGATGAAGATGGCAATGTTAGTGCTTTTTGAGCGACAGTCCTGCATTTAGCAACATTAACAGATTGCGACATGGTACCTTAGCAAGCTTGAAAACTAGGCATAAGTGAAGCACACATAACAAAGATTTTCGTCGGTAGGAGGAGCAGCGTGGAAGGTTAAGGAATAAGTGAGAATACAGCATTACAGGGAACAGGAGCAACAATTGCAATTGCTGGCAACTGTATAAAATTCACGCGGACATGTAATATTTCCACGCAGTTCACAAGGATCACATACATTGCATCTGATGACAGTCCTTGGCTGCTTCTAACGCAGGCCGAATTTCTAGAATTGGTGGAACAGCAAGCTTGAATGAAACTGTTAAGCCTAATAACAGTGTGCTCAGTGGTCAAGATTAAATGCTGAAGTCCAACAGGCCCCCGGAGCCCAGAACCAAAAAGGTTGCGACTGGTGAAGTTCACTAGTGGGAGACCCCGGGAACCAGGAACCAAGATGGCCCCAGGAAAGTCCTGAAAGCATCATTGGTTCTTGGTTCCCACGAGTTACCAGTGACCTTCACTATCGGGAGTGCCAATGTGCTTGGGGAACGTTGCGGGAAACGGGTTCCCACAGCATCCCCTTCTGCTCGAGGGTTCTGCTATGCTTTATCTTGTGTTCGCATTAGGTACATGTCAGGAAGAGGTTTATGGAGTTCGGGTTGGCTCAAGCTCTAGCGCGTGTGGCGAGGACCAGGTTGACGATGACGTTGTCCTGGTTGTTGCTCAGGCTCCTTGGCTTTGCTGTTCGGGCTTCAGCCTGCCCATAGAAGCCTAGCAACCTTGTGCTACCAATTGGCTTACTTTCCCGTCCATGGTTACACTGGCTTGTTGAAAGGACCCAGATAGAGCCACTTGAACGGGTAAGTAGGTCAAGGGCTGTAGAGCGCAGGTCGCTCGCGCCGAGGATTTACTTGCTTTCCAGTCAGCAAGCCTAAGACCACAAAAGTCGCAAAGTGCCACTTATTTGGATCGAGCCTTGTTCATGATTTGCAGCGTGTCACTGTTCAATGCCAGGTTCCGAGTGGCAGCGTGGAGAAGGCTGGCTGCTGGGAAACGAGTAAGCACTGCTTCTGGAAGATCGTCAACTGGTGCCGCAGGTTCCTGTTCTCACCATACTGCACGGCTCTCCGTGTAGCTGTGGTCTCTATGATCTTGGAAGGTTCAGCTATCTCTGCTCTTGGAAACATCGAACCAGCAGCCTTGCAGCCATGCAACCGGGATGTGGGCTGCATATACCAGACAAGTCGGAATGGGGTTCTTAACTCCACGAACGGCCACTTTGCAAGCATTCGTAACGGCGAGGAGGAGAGCTTCACAGTAGAAGACTTCGTGGATGGCCCTTCATCGCTCCGTGCATGGCTGACAGGCATCAGGTGGCCCGATGTGCCAGGGCGTCAACTGCCTGCAATCTGTCCTGATACAACCCGCGAGGAAATGCAGGCCTTGTGTGCAAGCGTAGAGACAAAAGAGAAATTTGACGGGGTACATTATTCCCGGATCTCGTCGGTTCTTGTCATTATTTGCGCTTGCACCGTGGCCCATGATTGGGGCATATTGTATTCCGGGTCTGAGTGGTCACTTGTGGGTGTTGGTTCTGCAGGTTTAATCCTCGTTTTTTTACATTTCTTCCTGGCCATCCTGGTGACGTTCTGGGCACTAAGCTTGTCGGGAGTTTTCGTCGTTTCCTTGGATGAGCAGAGAGGTTGTGCATGCTACTACCAGCTCGAAGGAGTCCAGGCGCTGCTCGCGCTGTCGGTCCCAGGTGTTGTGCTTTCGCAGGCCTTGACCAGGTTTGACACATGGATGGAAGAGGCCATATTCGGAAACGCTTTGTACTTCCAGCCTCATCGAATTCCGCACCATGTTGAGAAGCAATGTCGGAGCTGGCGCAGTGGGAATTTAATGGAGTGGGACTTTAATGGCCTTGAGCCTCCAGTTTTGGGCCATGGTTCGTCTTGGACTCCGAGTCCTCGGACTTGCATGGTTTTTTGGCTGATGATCCTCTTAGTCATCGTGTGGGTCGTCACCATATACACTGCTTTGCCAGAGGCTCCCAGCCTGATTATGAGAGTAGAAGATGTCATAGCTATCTTTCTAAGGGCGGAAGATTCCCCTTGGATCTTCGGGCTCTTAGACTGGGGTGTGCACCTGTCCGTTCTCATTGCTTGGCTCCCTGCTGCAGCTTGCCTCTTCATTGGCTTGAAACTTCTTCTTGAGGTACGACAGGAGTTCCGAGACGGTGAGCTTGATGGTCCCGGAAAGCTGCTGTGTGCTATGCTGTTTGCTACAATTGGGACCATTTGTGTGAGCTTCGGCGCTTTGTGTTTGTACTTGCCAGTCAGAGCCTTCATGCTACCTCCGGCCGCGCTACCAGATGTGCGGGGCCAGGTGTGGCGGGTGGAGAATCGTGCAGCTTGCTACTTCTTTGTGTGCCTGTTCGCTATTCTTGTCCTGGCACCTTATGCCTTCTACTACAGGGCGAAGCACTTCTTACATGTATACGCGACCATGGAGGGTGATGGGGCAGCCTGCACGCCTGAAAGATTTCGAGAGTTCTGCACGTCACATCCCGGCTTGGTCCGCAGCATACAGTGGATGCGAGGGCTACAGGACGAATTGGGCGAGTTCTTGATCACCGGTCTGGGTGAGGTAGTCAGCGAGGCTACTCAGCTGCACAGATGTATTTGCATGCCTTTTCATGACACCCTGATCGTGAATAGTTGCTTAACACTCATGAGCTCCTTCGCACCATGACGGCCACCATCACCATCATTATCAGCAGCAGCAGCAGCAGCAGCACAATCCTTCAAGTCCTCTACGTCCTCCCATGCTATCAACATCAGCTTCTTCACCAGTAAAATCAGCATCATTAGCAATTGGTGCGCCGACGTGAATCGCTCTTTCTAGCGTCATGCCGACATGGCTTCTCTACGGCCAGAGCATGTTGCGCTCGCCGTACATCACGAGTCATAGTGGCATTTGCGCCTGGATGTACGGGCAGTCTGCTTACGCCCGTTGTCGTTGTAGGACTTGTGCTCCTTGATGTGGGAGTCGCCGAAAATTAGGGGTGCATTATCCTGGGGTCCTTACAATAAGGATCCTACTATTTAGGGTGCTATGTCATGTTAGGGTCCGGTATTTTCGGAAACTCTCATGTGGTCTCAAGAAGTTTCTGCACACACCTGTGTGTTCTGGAAGGTTTTTGAGCCACACCTGGTTTTCCAGATTTCTGTCTATGAGATTTCAACAGGGCTGAGGTTTTGGAAGCTTTTTGGAGTTTTGGAGTTTGGGCATTTTGAACACTGCGCACTCTCCATTTACTTGGGTATCAAAACCGAGGGCTCAGGCTGTTGAAGGGACCGAACTAAAGTGTGTCGAGACAGCAAAGGATGCCGGCATCACGGCCTCCAAACCAAATGCAGACGGCACAGCTGAGACCAAAGAAGAAGCTTTGGGCGAAATTGCAAGCAACTTGTCGCCATCCGATGAGAAGCAGACGGCTGCAGCCACAGAACAAGCCCAACACGAAAGTCGCAAGGACTCGTCACCATGTGATGCAGGCCACACATCTCAGACCCACGCGGAGGAGGACGAAACTACCAGGAAAGCACAGCAATGCACGACTCCAAGAGAGGACGAAGAGGAAGCAGCTGCACTCACTAGAGAAGTCCGCTGGTTGCAGAGGCTAGAGAAGCATCGCAACGACTTTCTGCGCGAACGTACTCCCGCCGTTCAGAGGGACAGTGAGTGAGCAGATGCAGGAAAGATTCCTGTCTGCACGAAGCAGGCTTTATGGGGCGACATGTTTTTGCTCAACAGTTCTCTGCAAATTCGGTCCCAACCTTAGCAGTGTTTCACCGTTGAAGTTTGTGTTGAGAGCGGTCGCATACAAGGCATTATGTCTTGTGTGTTTGGGTGGGTGTTGCAGCCAGTAGCGCTGCAGATTTGCCCGGGCCTCCTCCTTTCTTGCGAGTTCACATGGGTGGTTCTGCAGCCGAGCGCCGCACTGTACATCCCATCTCCATCATGACATTGTCAAACCCTTTACCTCGCATGGTTGGTTCTGGCAGTCGAGCGGACTGGATCTCAGGCCACTGACGGCACTACTCAAAAAGTAACTGCTAGGCTCTCTGCATCAGGGCCGAGCTGCAGCATAACTAACCCCTTTTCACCCATGAACTCACATGGGTGAGTCCAGCAGTCGAACTGCTTTGGACGCGACCCACTACTGATACCACTCAGAAAGTGAGTGCCGTGCTCTTTGAAACCTCAGGAAACCCGGAGCCGGCTTTTCGTCATGGTCTGTTCCCTTCAGCCAGAGCCTCTTGGAGAGACGAAGGTATGCAAAATCGCGCTTCTTGCATTCCTAAAAGTCCAAGCTGTAAGAACCGGTGAGAAACCTTCAAGAAGCGAGTCCAACTGCAAACACGGGTGTAGTTGCAAGTGAGATTGGAAGCGAGTAGTCAAGTCGCAGGTCTGACAGACACACGACAGATATGCGAGTGTGCGATAGCATCTTCATGGCTTGCAGCTTGAGCGCTTCTCTTGTTCCGAAAAGGTCACGCAGTCAGGTTTTCCCCTTGTGTCTGATCCGTCATGCACATGACCTAGCGCTTGTTTCGCAGACAGTCTTCAATCGAAACCCACTGTTGTAAGGAAAGAAATCCTGTGAGCTGGGTGAAAGCACTGATTCTAATCATGCACATTGTCAAAAACGGTAGCCGCTTTAAACTGCTTCAACCATCCATGGTAAGCTTTGTGTTGCTGGCATTTGTACTCAGGTCGCTTGCTGCCGCCTTTGCCGGCGCGTGAGCCTTTGTCGTAACTAGCCAGATACCAGATACGGCGTTGCAGATTACACATATGTCTATGGTTGAGCAGTATACATACACGCAAACACAAGATGCCTTAGTGACGCTTTTCCCAAGACGCATTAGTAAGGCCATTCGTATTTACATGTAAACAGCCTATGTTCTGCATTGCAAGAGTATGTTTTTTATGGATAGTTTGGTTTCCCTTTTCTGACTGCTGCCGTGTGCCTTTGCTACATCGGAGGCCAAGCGATAAAAGCGACGCGCTGCACACTGTTTCCGCCGTGCATATCGTGCTAATGTGCATAGATGTCCTGAAAATTAGTCTTTCACAGATATCTTTCGGGCTCTTCTTATACGCGCCAGCTTCCATGTCATGGACGTGTGTTGGAATTCTCGCAGCACAGAGCACCCTCTGATCTATCTAGCATGCGTGTGTACATGTGCAACAGAGAGCGAGAGAGAGTGAGAGAGAGAGAGAGGACTATATGTTTATGTAAACCCTCTATATATATATATATATATATATATATATATATATATACATATATATATATATATATATAAACACGGTATACCCCCTGACAATCAACAACTACCTCGAATTATCTTGTCCTTAAGCGTTCGCCTACGAATCCTTGCATGCTACCTATTTCTATTTTCATGTTGTGAAATTTCCCTGTCTTGAAGAGCCGTGTTGACATGTCCTCATGCGAGCGTAGTTTTCATGTTCAGTTCTGAATGCACCCTGTACGACAGACGTCTTGGGCTCAGATCAAAAAGTGTGCTCGTTGTGTGGTTGGACACTCACTAATCCAGTTCCTGCTTCAAACTGGTAGCGGAGCTGTGAGGACAACCACTAGTGTTTCACCCCCGTTGAGCCTGTGGTCCGGGGTCCGTTGGGTAGAGTAGTGATAGTCGCGGCGCAAAGGCCCCTTCTATCCTCGAAGCCATGAGCGTGGCAGGTTTGCGTTACCAGCCCAATCTCTGGTCACAGAACTTGAGCCCTGCAGAAACCAAAAGCGGCTCGTACATATACGACGGGTCGGCTGCTGGCTTCCACGATTGGTGCTTCCGGACACAGATCCGTGTGCTGCAGCATAAGGAGAAGCAGCGGCGAGAAGCTCTGAAGGACCTGCGTTTTGCCGAGTCAGCAAGGTCCAAGAGCGAGTCACCAAGGAAGTGGCGTGGCAGGGCCAGTCAAGGGACCAGTGCATCCCCCACAGAGGGCGATGCGAGCAGCGGTATACCCGCCAGTCCGTCCAGCGCAAAACGGACTAAGCCCGTGTCCGAGGCAGAAGAAGAGGATGCGGAGTCGCTACCGTCGCACCCCAGTCAAGTGACGGGCGACGACGAGCAAGAGCCGGACACAGATCCGGCGGTGTACACCTTGCAAGACGTCAAGGACGAGTCGCTCGACATGAGCGAGTGCGTTAGCAAGATCCTAGAGGGTCTCCGAGGAGATGCCTTTTGCATCGCTCGCGACGTCGGCCTGGAACGTCTGCTTCGCCATGACGGCGTCGACTACCTGATAGAAGAAATCAGGAGGCAAGCCTTCCCTCTTCAATCCGAAGAGGCGTCCGAACTCTTCCGTCAGGGACAGCTCCTGACGGGCCCACTTGCAAAGCAACCTGGCGAGCCTATGTTGTCTTACATAGCCCGCCGAAAGCGGTGGTGGTCGACCTTGCGTGAGCTGGATCCTGATATCCGCCTTTCTGAAGCAATGAGGGCTAATCTCCTTGTTGAGCTTTCAGGGTTGGAAAGGTCCGAGCAGCTAATGGTCAAGACCGCCGCCCGCGTACACAGCGTGGATGAGTACGCACGCGTCCTTGTTCAGCATCACTCAGTGGTGCACATGAAGGAACGTCTTCTTACCCAGAAGGACCCTAGTGGCCCAGGTAAGACCTGGAGACGTTTCGACGCTAAGCCCCAATACCCTAAGTTCGGCTATATGGGGTATGATGGTAGTGCCGCAGAGTATGGTCACCAGGAACAACAGGAATCCGCGGAAGGCTACGGTGACGGCTACGGCGAAGAAGCATACCAGGCCACAGCGTCTGGGGGAGACGATGCGGATGAATGGATTGATGATGAGGATCTAGCATTGCAACTCAACGCCTATACGGCGGTGGCATATGAAGCTGAAATTGATGATTTGGATGATTCCTACGCCGAGTCAGTTCAGCTTGCGTACGCGGCACAGACCGCATTTGCCCAGGCGAAAGGAAAAGGAAAGGGGAAGAACAAGGGCAAGTCCCCCGGAAAATCCGGAGGGAAGGTCGTGCGTAGCAATCTGACCATTGCTGACCGCAAGGCCAAGTTAGCAGAGCTTAAGGCAAAGAGTAGGTGCCTGAAGTGTGGTGTGATCGGCCATTGGGCCGGAGATGCTGCCTGCAAGTTTAGCGGTAAGGGCAATGGCCCCAAGGTTACTGCAACCCCAGCACAGTCTGGGGGAACTGCCAATGCAGCCGCAAAGTCGGCGGCGCCGAAGCCTCAGGCGTATTTCGCCGCAGTGGAGGAGGATGACACAGAGTGTGTCCATCTGTCGAATGCGAGCGCTGGTAGGCTCGAGGGTTACCCAGCCAACCTTGAGCTGACTCCCTCAAAGACCAACACCGGTAAAGGCCGCGGCAGTGAAACCCTCTTCTCACCACAGCTTCGGCGCACAGCCGCCGCTAGGATCATGCGTGACAGCCCGCCTGAGGGTTCCGATCGTGTTTTCTCCTTTGGCCAGCATAAGGGTCTGACTTATGAGCGTGTCTTGTATACGTTTCCTGGGTATGTTCTTTGGGGACGCACGCAGAAGTGCCCATCCATAAATTTGGCCGATTTCTTGGATTGGGTCACGGAGTACTTTGATGTGCGTGATGATAACCCCATTAGCATCACGAGAAGGGATATCCCTCTCAGCCAGGAACCCCCGCCTGAACCCTTCCAGCCCGAGGTTCGCCTCGCCGCGTCAGCTGCTTCGTCCAGCGAAGGCCCCCGGAAATGCCGGGGAGGTTGCAAGGAGTTCAACAAGTCGGGGAGTAACGCATACATAGACATGCGGACCTGTAAGAAATGCGGCACCGTCACCAAGACAAAGAAAGAGAAGCCTGTCATAGATCAGGCCACATGCCCCCACACCTCCACCGAGAGGTCGGGTAGCAGCAGGAAGACCTCCCGCATTAAGTGCAAGCTTTGTGGGATGCTTCTAGATGAGCAGCCGCAGACCGAGCGAAAGGCTAGGGATGACGCAGCCACAGTGCTGCGGGAGTCCAACACCCTGGACTTCGATCTTCTGCGCAGCATAGTCGGCAGCACGGGGGATAGCCTCCCCGTAGAGGTAGTAGTTCCGGCTATTGCCCAGTTTCAAGAGACCATAGAGGGTCACTTTGTAACCGAGCCCGTGATATCCCGCGGTGACCTTCTCGCATACCTGCAAGAGGCCTTAGACGATCACTCAGCGCCATCGACCAACAACAGTTGGGAAGTGGCGTCGGCGAGATCGCGCTCTTCGAGGGCCTCCGCGACGAGGCACGCCTTCGTGGCTTTTACCGAGGGGGTCACAGATATCCATCCGGCTTTGGTTGATTTGCCCGTAGTAAATATCTACGAGGATAAGCACGTATACGCCGTGTTAGACGAGGGCTGCAACTCGACTGTTCACGGTAGCGATTGGATAGCAAACGCGGCGGGGAAACTTGCGAACTTCGGTTACAGCACGAGATTTAAACCTGAGGGCAACCGTACCTTCAAGGGTCTTAGCGGCGCTACCGAGACCTTGGGTAGCAGGACCATACCTTTCTCTATAATGGGATTGGAGCAGGACTTGAGAGTTCCGGGCGTCCTTGATTCGCATGAGATTAAGGGTACAGCCCCTCTCCTCTTGTCCCTTTATGCGCAGGCCCAGCTTGGTAAAACCAAAGATTTACGGTTTGGTGTGTGTGGTGTTCGA